CCATGGACTGCCAGAATGAACAAATCTGCCCTGGAAGAAGTATAGCCAGAATGTTCCATGGGAGTGAGAATGGCCAGATTTCATCTCACCTACTTTGGCCATATTGTCAGAAGGGACCACTCCTTGGAGAAGGATAGCATGCTTGGTAAAGTACAGGGTCAACAAAAAAGTGGAAGACCCTCAATGAGAAGCATTGACACAGTAGCTACAACAATGGGCTCAAACATAGCAAGGACTGTGAGGATGGCACAGGGCCCGGCAGTGTTTCCTTCTGTTGTACACAGGGTCACTATGAGTTGGAGATGACTCAGTGGCACCTAACAACAAGTTGTCTTAGTTAACTAGTGCTTCTATAACAGAAATACCACAAGTAGGTGGTGTTAATAAGCAGAAATTTATTTTCTCACAGTTTAGGAGGCCAGAAGTCTGAATTCAGGCTGCCAGCTCTAGGGAAAGGCTTTCTCTCTGTCAGCTCTGGGGGAAGGTCTTTGTCACCAATCTTCCCCTGGGTCTTAGTTTCTTAGCGCAGGGACTCCAGGTCCAATGGACATGTTCCACTCCTAGCTCTTCTTTCTTAGTGATAGGAGGTCCCTCTCTCTCTGCTTGTTTCTCTCTCTTATCTCTTGGTAAGGTAAAAGATGATGCAGACCACATCCTAGGGAAACTCCACTTACACTGGATCAGTACTGTGACCTAAGTAAGGGTGCTGCATCCCAGCCTAATCCTCTTACATCAGATCACATCATGGGGGATGAGTGTACCATTACATAATTGCCAAATCACATCATTACATAACTGCCAATGAAAATCATGACCTAGCCAAGTTGACACATATTTTGGGGGGATATAATTCAATTCATGACATTCTACACTTTGGCCTCTCAAAATTCATGTCCTTGCCACATGCGAAACACATTCACCCCATCACTGGTTTTCAACTTACAGATATAGTTATGTGTAGATAAAGCACAAAAGTCTTAATTATACTTTCAGAATTAGATATATATGTCACCGACCTTGATAAAGGTTAAGTAAAGGTATAACAGAAGGAAGAGCAGACAAAAGCTGGGAGGTACATAGGAGTACAAGGATGAATGGAAGGATGGAAGTGTAAATATTTTCAACTTTATCATGAGGAATGAAGAGATACTGTCAAGACTGGGCATAATCATCAACGGAAGTTTATAATTTTAAAAGTTAACAATGATTTCCAAAAGAGGAATTAAAAGGGAGCCTGGTAGTGTAGTACCTAAGGCACTTGACTGCTAACCAGAAGGCTGGCAGTTCAAACCCACGAGCCACTCCTCAGAAAGAAGGTTGGGAAATCTACTTCTGTAGTGATACCACCTCAGAAACCCAAGGAGGGGTTGCTATGAGTCGGGTTCGACTTGACAACACATAACAACAACAACATTACTATTAAAAATGAGGGTGGGGATGAGTGGTACAAAATGAGCTAAATCCTCATTCTCTGCAGCAAATTCATCACAGGTAATGTCTGAGGTTGAAAAAAATCAAGAAATAATGGCATAAGAATATTATTTAGAAATACAGAGGACAGAAATGGTTAAATATGACTTCAGGAGAACAGGACTAGGGTGGGGAAGGGCAAACCTAAAGAGCTTTCATTACACACACATCTAGATGATTGGAATTCTAAATAATTCAGTTATAATTTTGATTAAATAATTTTAATGAAATGTAAAAATAACTCACAAAGAGGAGGGAAGAGGGAGTTGCTATTTAGAAAGCACTGAATACCTGTTTCCAGTGATGGAAAATTTGGCAAGACACTGGTGATGAGTGATGATTGCACAATGTAATTAATTTGATTGGTGTCACTGAATTGCACAAGTAAAAGACATTGAATTGGCAAATGTTGTGTTATATATAGTTGTACAAATCTTTAAAATAAAATAATCAAGTTTACTCCTACCACATTAATTGTGCATATCAGTCATCACTGTTAATACTTATCCATGGTTAAGCTTCTATGCAGTCTTATACAATGTAGCTTCTAGACTCACAGAGGTGAATTATAAATTTCAGTTACTGTCATTTAATACTAAATTCATATACCATAATTCACCTGTTCTAAAACATACATTCTCCTCTACATTTTTAAAAAAAAAAGTCATTGAAATCCGGATGGATGCATTTTACTAGGAAGGTTTTTCCTTAGTGGTACATAAATTACGGTGACTTTTCACAATCAATGGCATCTTAACCAAAACCAAAAACCAAACTCACTGCCACTGAGTAGATTCCAACTCATAGCAACCCCCACTGGGTTTCCAAGGCAGTAAATCTTTATGGAAGTAGATTGCCCCATCTTCCTTCCAGAGCAGCTGATGGGTTTGAACTGCCAATTTTTGGTTAGCAGTAAAATGCCCTAGGCACTGTGCCACCAGCAGTCCTTAATGGTATCTTCAATTTGGTGAAATATGATTCTTGTAGGGAATTACATGTCTAGGTTACTCTATGAAATCACATAACGTTAAATCTTTCCAATGTTCTGTCCCTTCCTTATTATACTCCAGTCATATACTAGGTTTTTATTTATTTTTTAGTTTTTTTTTCAGAATACCTCAGGATATTTGGACTAGCTACTTCCTGGAAAGTCCCTTCTCTCAGTATCCCAACTCTTGTTCCTCACACAGCTGGCTCCTTCTTGCCATGCAGTCTCAGCTTAAATATCTTTCTCTTGCAGGAACTTGTTGACTACCTACTCTGTATCAGCTCTATTCCCCATAGACAATTCCTATCATATTATTCAGTTTTATTTTCATCAAGGCACTTACAACTCCCTGACATTTTCATTTATTTGTCTTTATCCTCACTAAAGCCAAAATATAGGGAGAGATATCTTGCCTGTCTTGTTCAATACTGTATGCCAGCACCTAGAATAGAGCCTGGTACTGAGCAGGAATTCAAATATTTCTTGAATGAATAGTTCAGAAAGATAATGCAAAGCTATGGATATAAAATCTAATCATTTAGCAAGTAATTATGCTTCAAATTTATAAATAGCATTGCTTCCTTGTTTTTCTATGCAAAAAAATCTTACATGTATAAATTATTTTGATAGGAAGATCCACTTCTGATTCCTATCCAGTTAAATACAATTTTAGAAATATGCTAACAGCATAAACCAAGAATAAATTTTTTAAATATGAAACAATTCATACCATCTTTAATTCATTTGGCATATTCTAATCTACCACCCCTTGACCAGAACTGACATCAAGCAGCTGGCAAACTAGAAAGAAAAAAAAAAAAAGCTTTTCTCAGAAAATTAAAGACTTTACCTTTGGCTTTTTAAATTTAAAGTGAAAAAGCTGTCAGTTCTTCCAAAGGAAAGATCAAGTTAAAATTACTGCTTATACTTATAATTTTATTTCCTGGAGCTCAATTCAAAGGATTAACAGAGATAAGACTTATCTTGTTACTGAATATCCAGCAAGAAAAATAATGAATAACTTATTTCAATTCCTTTCATTCTTGTACTTCACATTAAGGAAAAAGGATAAAATAAAAAGGCAGAAAAAGTATGTTTGTTTGCATTTTTTATTGAAAAAGTCCATGATTCTTTGGGAAGTGATAGAAGATTTTTTTTCCAGTCAAAGCATAATTTCGACAATCTCTATAATAACCATAAATTCAAAAGGTTCCTGCTCTCCCCACCCCAATTTCCTTTTGGCACCCATACATGAAGTATCATTTCGGAAAAAATGGGGAACAAAACATCTTGAGTACTGGGTTTCTATCATAGTGCTCCCTTATTGATGACATTTTTTCTGACTGCTGAATGTAGAATATTGATACAAGAAGGATCAGCAATATCTCATCAATAAAAATCTTTTTCTAACTAATTATATGGTTGTCTCAAGAAAAATCTATTAAAAACAGCAGCCAGTTTTCAGAGGTAATGGAGCAATGGCCTATCTTATCTTTCCCCATTTCTTCTCATTTTGAATTTGGAATGACTCAGTCCTGTAAGAGGTAGCATAATATCTGGCACAGGCTCTGGCATCATGATTTTAGAGTACAACTGTAACCCGCCACATTCTTCAGAAGAACTCGTGTTACACCTAAAGAAACAGAAGAGGAACCATGGATTTCTGCGAGCAGAGACAAGTCTCTCAGGAGGACAGAATGTGATATTTGTGGAGAGGGTGGGGCCTAACAGAATGTGACTGGTGATTAGTGTGGGATTTAGCCAAACTTAAAAAAAAAAAAAAAAAAAAAAACTGAATTAGAAAACTGTGTCATTTATAAAGTACACTACTCTTGAATCTTTACCTAGTGTACCAAAATTCAGGATGTAGAGGAGACAAACAGCCAACACTGACAACAGATGGCCAACCGTCAAATATAAAGAAAATAGCTTATAAGTTTAACTTTTCACATGTTAAGAAGGATTTATGAATTTGGTGTTGACCTATCTGACCCAATTCAAATTCATTGTTTAGCTATGCTTCAGTTCCATTGAGTATTGCCAAGAAACTTATATTTTAAATCTTTGAATTTTTCAATGTCATTAAAGCTTAATGGATTTTTCAGAATATTACTGTTAAACTGAGAAGAGAGCAGTCTTATCTACCTCCTTTTCCAAAATCTAATAAAATAAGACAGATCCAAAACAAAAGATGACAATATTATAAAACTAGGGAAAAAATATAATGCTATGACAGTGCTTTTTCTTTTTATAAGACTATTTCCTACCTATAGCATTACATATGTAATTGAACTTTTGGAAGAAGGAAAAACAAAACACTAAAACCTCCTGACAAAGTAGCCATTCCATTCCATGGACAATGGCTTATTTTGTCTGCCAGCCACTAATTCACAAATATTTTCCCCATTTAAAGAAGTACACATTCATGAGATTGGGGAGAACAGGGAGCACTACCAAGGAAGTCAAATACAGTCTTCTCTTACAAACCCAGCCCTATGTCCTTAGTGGCAACTGACTTATGCTTCATCTACCATCTTGATATTCACAGTAAGCAACATCTTTCTTTAAAACTTTTCTTGTTCTTGCTGCTTTTCTTGCCATTCTTGTCTTTGTTTTCTGACATCTTCTTTGCTCTGATTTCTCTCATCAGGTCAAAGAACACCTGGAGGTGGGAAAGAAGGGATAAAAAGAATAGGGAGGAAAAAGCCACTTAATGACTTAGTGAAATAATTCAACTGGACAGGAAATGGTGTTATATTTTAAAGCATAAAGCCAAACACGTTTATAAACCATGTGTCATGAAAAGCAAAGGATCTAAAACAATTAAGAATAACTAACCTTAAAAACATATTCCAACTACACAAAGCAAACATCTCTGATCATACCATGCAACTGGTCAGAAATAATCACCATATCATTTCTACCTTTCAAAAGCTTATTTCAAAATGATAAAAAAAAAAATCTTTTCTTAAGAGAAGTATAATGAAGGATAAAAAACATTTTAGCATAGAACAAATTTACAAGTTTGTGAGATTTACAAATATTGAGAATGACAATAGTCACCAAACTGTCTATCATTTCAAACCACCAGCAAAGGAAAGAGAGATACGAGTACCTGCTACTAGGTACTTTATTATATATCACAGTACCATATTTAATCTTTATAATAACCCCATAAAGTAGGAAACAATCTTATGCATGACAGTTTCCCAGCTTAACTCTACAACAGCAGACCCGGGGGCACTGGGGTGAGAAGGGAATAAATTATAAATGAATTAAATGCTCCTGAACTATGAAACTAGGGAAAAGAAGAGAGAGAGAGATCCTGCCACATGTACCCCTCCCCATATATACCTCTACTCTAATTCTACTATGTTAGCTAAAAGAAACTTTATAAAGAACTAGCAAGACTTGTCCTTTGAACACCAGCTTGTTATTTAGATCTGGATTATAATTTGTCACAGTAGTTTAGATTTTGCCCTCTGCTACTAGCAATCACACCAGAGTACTGATTAGGCCCAAAAAAGATAAAATATGCCTCCTACAAACAGCCAATTAACACTTTTTCACAGAAAATGATGAAGACTGAAAGTGAGAGACTGGGCATGGACTCTTACCTGGGCACGGACTCTTATCTTTGGATAGTCACACCAAACTACAAGCTCCTATCTCTTACTTTCATAGACATAACTTGTTCTTTCTGAAAAGCAAAATGTCTTGTCCTTGCCCCTCAGATCTAGCTCCCTATGTATGCAGGACTCATATGCACTGTACACCAGCTATAGGCACTAAGATGAACCTCCATCCAACCTGTTGGATCAGGCCTCTCAGGAAAGCACATAACAGCAGCAGTGAACAGTTTCAAACATTACAAATTTTTTTTTCTTTTTATTCTAACAGCAAAAGGCAGGAAGAGGGGGAGGGAGGGTGTCCAATTTAAAATGATGACAAAGTTGTTCATTGACTGATCTTATCAGCAACCTTCTTTAGTGCAAATTGTTTACAAGTGACTACGATGCTGCCAGTCATAAGTTTCTCCTGGTTCCTGTTTGGCAGGTCAAGCTGGTCCAGTGGAGGAGGGGGAAATGACAAGTCACTGTGCAGCTGTCCCTCTTTTCCACCCCACCCCATCCCTTCAAAAAAAGTATACACTGATTCTTCCCACCAGGAAAGTCTTCCTGAGTTATTTAAAATGAAATAGATGTCTAGATTTCCTGTGTGGCTTCTACAGCTATGTAACTGTCTGACAAAAGAAATGCAGAGTAGCACCAGAATCAACCTCAGAGTTGAGATAACAATATGAAGTGAAAGTAGCTAACAAATGAACACTTCTCACTGCAGACAGCAATGAAGAGAGTTATGTACGGTGTTGTAGAGGCTGCCAAAAGTGTTTTTAAAGTGACTCCTTCTAATACCAACATCTTAAACACCAATGTACTCCCAGCATCATTTCAAGCTGGAATGAAACTTGGTTATAAATCTCTCTCTTCAGATAAGAATGTAGGAGAATTAGTTCTCCACAAGAAAGAGAAATAGAAGAAACTCGAGGGATTCAGATGTTGATGCTGAATAACACACAGTAGATCTATCTATCTATATATAGATAGATAGATAGATCTATCTATCTATATATATCTAGGAGCTCTGGTAGCATAGTGCCTAAAGCACTTGACTGCTAACCAGAAGGCTGGTGGTTCAAACCCACCAGCCATTCCTCGGAAGGAAGAGGAGGCAATCTACTTCCGTAATGATACTGCCTCGGAAACCCAAGGAGGGGTCGCTATGAGTCGGGTCCAACTTGATGGCAGATAACAACAACAACAACAACAGATATATCTACTGTTTGACTCCTGAGTGACAAGTTTTTAGGTTTTACAAGAGCATGCATTATGGAACAAGAGAGTGAAGGCAGAAAAAAAAAAAAAAAGCTTTATTTTTAAGGGTATTTTACTTGTGTGGCAACATCTTGAGCCTTAATTTAAAAAAAAAAAAAAAAAAAAGGCAACAATAGTCATCCGAAGTAGGTGAGATGCTGTCAACATTCATCATTGTCAAATCATCCATCCTTTCATTAGTTTCAGAGATTTGAATGAGAGAGTATGCTGTGGATGGAATGAAGAGGGAGAGGAAGAGAAAGAAAAGATTTCTAGGGGATTAGTGACTAAATTACAAAGACAGAACCACAGAACCTTGGCTCTGTCAGTGGACAATAAGGTTAAAAGAATAAATCTAACCAGTAACTCAATAAGAGCAAAATCAAGAAAGTCAAGTTTTTTCAGGCCCACTTCTGGGGGAAGCCTCCTCTGCAGCAGCCAGAGACAGCCAGCCTGCTACCAAAGAACCACCAGCTAAGGAAGGTAAGAGTGCAGAGAAGCTACTTAGATCTGTCTTTGAAGCACAATTTTCATGAGCCAATGGTGTCATCTTACCATACTTCCAAGGACTATGTCAACATTAAGTATACTCTAACAAAGCTTCATGGCAAAGCAAAAAGACGTTGGATTTTTCAAAATTTAGGGTCAAGCTCTCCCAATGCTTCTCATGATAATGGCTTGGACTTCTGGAGTAATCAGAATCTCTAACTAATTTCCATAAAACCAACCAGGTTAAGTGTACATTCTGCTGTTTCTCAAGTATGTTTTGAAGAGATGCACAGAAACCACTTGCCTACCTTGTCCACATTGGCACGTGTTTTAGCCGATGTCTCCACATACTGCACACCCCACTCTTCCGCTTTACTCCTGGCCTCCTCGATGGGCACCTGCCTCCGCTCCTCTAAGTCAGACTTGTTTCCCACCACGAGCAGAGGAATTTTATCTTCTTCAGCCTTAACACGGAGGATCTGCTCCCTGAGGTATCACATCAAAAATAGAAAAGCTAAGAAAGCTATAATAAGAACTCAGTGCTGTCAACCCACCTAAAATGAAAAGCTTTCCTAAGGCATAAAAAGAATATCTACATTTAGGGCCTGTTCCCTAGCTGCAGTCATAAACTAGACAAGTGGTTTTCAAAGTCTTGTTCTCAGTTTGCTTGCATCAGGATAAGCTAGGGTGCTCATTATGAAAGCAGATCTCTGGGCTTAACAGTAATCCTAGAGAAGCAGATGCCTGGATAGAGGTCCAGGAACCTGCATTTCAAAGGATCCCCAATCTATAAGCACTTTTTATAATTTAAAAAACTGTGAACCTGTGCAATAAAAGCAAGCTAAAAAAAGATCCATAATATATTTAATAATTCTTCCTGAAAAAGTAATGTGATTTCTTTTGAGAGCAAAAGCTATGAAACCCAGTGTTTCTCAAATGGAAGGCGGCCCACTAGAGGCTCATAAAGTCAATCTATGGATCACAACCAGCAGAATTTTTTTTTGTTTTTGTTTCAGTGAAATGAAATATTACAGAGTAGAATAGCACAGAACAGGAACAACAGAGGGAATCTCAAGTAGTTAGGATTAGTACTGTTTTGTGAAACTTCTGCTTCAATTATATCTACTTGTGTGTATGCACCACTACCCCCACCACCCCCCAGCCTGCACAGTAAATGTTACATGAAACAGAATGGGACAGTTACATTAGGCCATAATCATATTTCAGTGTGCATTATTTTTCTTCTACAAAGTGAGAGAGAGAAAAAAATTACAAGCCCTATGAAGAAGTACTTTTAAAAAATAAATATTAAATATTTTGCTTCCAGTATTTTGGCCCATGGGAACTCTACTTCTATATTCCAATACATTCCAAAAAGAGTCCCCTTCAAAAATGTCTTTTGTGGACAGATGCATTAACTTTTATATGACACAGGGTAACATTTCATGATAATTTTAATGTTTTTTGAAAATTTAAGTACCAAATAGTAAATATTTTAAGACAAGCAAAAAAGGAGAAAAACACATAGATACTTAGGTTTTGCCTCTTAAATAGCTTTGTCCCTATATCTCAACAAAGGTCTAAGAATAAGATACATTTAAAAGTATGCAATAAAAATATACTATAAAAAATAAAAAGTGATAGTCTTCTGGCTCCTCTGTCTTTTGAGGCATGCAAAATTACTTTATTAATAAACATAAAAACATGAGCATTCTGAACTTTTGTGAGATGCCTATTTCTCCAGTTCACAGTATATTGACCAGGAACAATTTCAAGGAAAATAGAATGCATCAACATTTCATTTTATGTTGGGGTCTTTCTATTTAGAAGATACAGAAGAGTTGTGTTTTACATCTGCTAAATATCTAATTCCTCAAGGACTCAAAACTATGAGGCATAAAGTAAAAGTGAGTGAGTTTAATCACAAAGGCTTGGGTAATCCATCTCCATTTTTCTGAGATATCCTGGCAGCTTTGGGACGTTCATCTAAATGTCAGAAGGACAAGTCAAAAGAATTAGCTTCTTTTTGCTTTAGGCATTCATTTGTCCTTTTTCTTTTAAGGATACCTTTTCTCATATAACAATCAAATTCCTTCTTCCAAGATGAGATGAGATTCTGTTACAACTCTATTAGAGTGTGCAAATATCATGTGTGTGTGTGTGTATGTGTGTAAACCCAGGATAGTGTGTCAACACAGTAGGATAACACTCTATTCTCTGGAGATGACTTCTCTACTGCCCAACACTTTTTTCCTGATGAGTCATGGGGCAATGAGGAATCAAAAGGCTCAAGACAGGGAAGAAAATAAGGTAGTATGTGCATTTGTCTTGTTTTACCCTTGGGGAGGCATACACATAGAATTTAAAATCTATATATTATGTAGATGCAGACACAATATAAGTATATGGGCTATATCCAAATATAGAAACCTCTCAAACACCAAACTTATTGCCATCGAGTCATTTCTGACTCATAGCGACCCCCATGGGGTTTCCGAGGCTGTAAATCTTTACAGAAGTAATCATCCAGTTTTCTTTCTTGGAGCAGCTGGTGGATTTAAGCCACTGACCTTATGGTTAGCAATCAAGGGCCTTATCCACTACACCACCAGACCTCCTTATAGAAACCCCTCACTCACACTCACTGCCACCGAGTTGGATCCAACTCACAGTGACCCCTCCTTGGGTTTCTGAGGCAGTATCAATACAGAAGTAGATTGCCCCATCTTCCTTCCGAGGAGTGGCTGGTGGGTTTGAACTGCAAGCCTTCTGGTTAGCAGTCAAATGCCTTAGGCACTATGCTACCAGAGCTCCCACAGAAACCTCTAAGTATTTCTAAAAAGTCTGATGATTAATACCACTTTTCATAGTGAATTCTAGTGATTTAACTTCAACATACACACTATAATTCCAAGAAGTGAAATATCTAATTCCTTAAGGACTCAAAACTATGAAGCATAACAACTGAGGCACTACCTTGTTACCTTCCATTCACTCTGTTGGTTTACCTACGTTTAGCCCTTGAGGGCTCCCTGGCTCAATGATGCTTCCTTCCAAATCTTGGGAGGATATTTAGCTTCCTCATTGTCACCACCGGTTGAACACCTTACTTTCTGACCAGAACTGGCTAAGGAATGAAAAAAATAAAATTATTGTGTTTCTTTGTTGTTGTTGTTGTTGTTTTTCCTTTTAAGTTCATTATTAGGCTCTAATTTCAACTTTACCTAAAGTTGAATTGTTTATAAGGAGGGGAGATTAATAATAATAAAACTGTGTAAGAGAAATGGGAAGGATATATAGGGTAAAGAAAGAGATATAGCAGATAAAAATTATACCAAAAATGCTCACTATTTCTTATTACAAAATGAACCTAAGATCTTTACTTATCGCATTTTAGAAATGAATGGTAACAGTGAATATTCTGCTTACTACATGTGTACCATGTGCCATGTTGTCAGAGGGCCTGGGGACACCACATAATGGAGGTCCTTAAGGAGCTCACAGTCTAATGCACCATTTCATTTAACTGCATTTTCAGATAAGGAAATAATATCCAATGTTAAATAAACACACCCACAATCACAAAGCTGATGAGTGGCAGAGCAGGGATCCAAACCCAAATCTGTCTGATTCCAAAGCCTAGATTCTCTCCACTCAACTCTACTCAAAGTTCTTGCAGCGGCAAATGGTCTCTCTGACTCAAATCCATCGGTCCCAGCCACTGTTTCATTAACTTCAAAATAGACAAAAACTGTTACTTTTCTAATAAAATTATTAAAAATTTTAATTTTTAATTAAAAACTTGGAGGACATTGTGTTGTGTTGTTGTTGTTATGTGCCGTAGACTCGGCCACGACTCATAGTGACCCCTCCTTGGGTTTCTGAGGCAGTATCACTACGGAAGTAGATTGCCCCATCTTCCTTCCGAGGAGTGGCTGGTGGGTTTGAACACCAGCCTTCTGGTTAGCAGTCAAGTGCCTTAGGCACTACACTACCAGAGCTCCCTGGAGGACATTATGCTGAGTGAAATAAGTCAATCACACAAGGACAAATATTGTATTAGTCTGTTATTGTAAAAAGTCAAGGCAAGGTTTACATATGGCAGGAAATTTTCTTTGTTGATTACCAGGGATGGGAGGGGAGGAGAGGGAACACTGTTAGATAGGTAAAGACAAGTATTGATTTGGGTGAAGAGAAGGGCAATGTACCCAATGTGAGTGATCAACATGGTGGCACTGAAGAAGAAGATAGTTAAGCCTTAAGTTGATAGGAAAACAAAATTATAGGTTCTTTTTTATTGTGATTTGGGTGAAAATTTACAGAGCAAATACACTTTCCATACAGCAGTTCACATACACTTTGTCTCATAACACTGACTACAATTTAGCACAATGCAGTATCTCCCCTCCCTCTTTCCTCTTGATAGTTACCTCTTCCCTGTGTCCATTTCTCCATGCACTCCTAGCCCCTGAGCTGTCTCCCTATTCCTGAGCACCCCTTCTTTCTCTCATGCTTATTCTCTCCAAGGAGTATATCTACCTCAGGTAAACTCAACTGATATTCCTGTCTATTGTTTGGCTGGAAGCCACAGGTGTGCGTTCAATTCCAGACCTGAAGGGCAGCTAGGGGCCATAGTCTCAGTGGTTCCACCAGGATC